TAAACTGTTTATCAACTAAGGAAATCTTGACTATTTTCAGCATTCATTTTCTAGCCCAGAAGTATGTTAATCCCTAGAGAGCTCCTGAACTGATGCTCGAGAACACTGGTTTTGCAGTATATCTTGTATATAGGAAAGTGTGGTAGCTTCATCTTGATCCCGAAGACATCTTACATCAATAACAAACTCTGCCGTCAAGGACTCTCCATAAGTCTGTGTTATAACACTGGAGGCTTTGAACCTTCATCATGTCCTTATTATAAAACCTAAAAATGAACTTTTAGTACATAGAGATAGTACTTCTTTAAATATTTTGGGACCTCTTCAATGGTCTATTTTAGTAGCCCCCAGAGCAACCTGACACTTACATATTTAGACACTGTATCTCTATATATAATTAGTAAATGTGATTGTTCAAAATTCAGCTGTGTCCCACATGCTGCCCCCAGATTTTTGATGCTGTGGAAAGAAGAGACACACAAAAGGGCTATCTAACTTCAGCAATGATTTCCAGTTGAACTCTAATACTGGTAGTCAAGTGCTGGTATCATTGAAACGTTTTCTTGCTTCTCTAATGCATTCTCTACCAGCACAATTTGTATACGTAAGCCCTCAAGGAAACGGTGATACCTACAAATGAAAATGAAAAGGCTCAGAATACCTGTACCAAAAGTGTAACTCATTTTCTCTATTACTGTACATAAAGTATACTATTTAGGAACAATGCAAAATTAACTAAAGCAATACAACATTATTTGTCTTAACTATATCCTCCTCTGTGAACTAATCCAACCCCACGCATTCTTTACATACATTAGTGGGTATTACTGCGTTAGGTGTAGACCAAATCCTTTGTAGTGGACATTACTCCCGTTACAACAAGCATTTTTCTGCAGTGTGTTGCAATAATCCATACTGGTTTATTCCTAAATCAAATAAAACATCATCTTTTCTGGTAAATGAAGCAAGTTGAGAATAAGTCTATTTTTCCCTGATCAGCAATATGAATACGTGTTGTCTAAAACAATGTCTCTAATAATGGATTCCACAAGATATTTGAGATTAAGATGTAGAACAAACAAACAAAACCCATATAGTAGATAAAATTAGATAGTTATGAAAACGTTCCCTTGTGAATTTCCTTCCTGACCCTCACTGGATCACACCCCAAGCCTGAGAATTTTTGATTCATTTCAAATGTAGATTTTTGTCTAGAGCCTTGGATTTTCCTATTTGTTTTTCATTTCTATTATATAAATGCTACTGAAGTCAATGGGACTTTATATGTTTTAAGGCCGGACCCTAAACAGTTACTATTTAAAATACGGAAAATAAAAGAATGCAATCACATACTTGAGAAAAGTTTGGGTTTGAAACAGCAAGACTTGACTATTGTAACTCTACTGGTGACTGCATATCTTAGAAAAGTTAGATGATAGTTTGTCATTTGTTTCATGGACTAAATGCTAAACTAATCTCATGTATTTCTCAAATCATGCTCTGCAGTTTGTCTTTTGGTAATACAATGTTACACGTTCTGCTTTACTTCAAGGCTTTTACTTAAAGGTCATAGGTTGTAACTCTATGGTCACATTCTCTTTGCTCTGCAGTCTGGTGGCTTCCCCTAATAGAAGCCTCTTCTACCATGAGTGTACATGTTTTTGCTTCTCAGAAGGGAGAGGACTCAAAATTGATAATTATTATTAACAACACATTAGTTTAACTTCTGATTGAAACTTTATTATAGTAAGTCAAAATAGCCACCAGTAATTTGGGATGAATGTAAGTTTATTTGTTTCAGATGTGTCCAGATTTTAAGAAAACCTTGCTAGGAACTTTAAGAAACCTTAAGAAAGTTGCATATTGATAAATGGCTGAAGGCTTAGTAACAACATGGTCTAGGCAGAGAAGGGTCTGTTCCCAGCTCTGTCACGTTCTCTCAGACCATGGAAATTGCAAACAACAGGCCAGGAAGTTCTTACTGTTTTCTTTTTTTTCCAAGAATGTCATGATCTATCCCTAAAATACAGAAGGATGTGTTAACAGTAATATCTGTAAATAACAGGGAATTATCTGGGCTTGCTCAGCAAGTTGAGTAACTTGGACCGCAATGAACAGGTACAAAGATCTAAAGTTACATCGATTTATATGCAGTTAATCCAGCAAAATGGTTATGGTCACTGCATTTATCAACATGCAACCTGTATTTGTACGATGATCTCTGTGACAATTTATCATCATAATACAGACCCTCTAATGCAGTTAACATACTTCTTATCTCCCCAGTGGATAAACATTTACTCACATTTTTTTTCGGGCCCGTAGGGATGGTGTTTGTCTTGGGTGATTCTGGTGCATCAGCAAAGCCAGCCCAAGACGAGCCACCTCTCCATCCCACCCAGTTTCTTCTCACCGCTGGTTCACCTCCTCCTCACTGGAGCTGGTACAGTTGTTTCTGTGACTGCCGGAGTGAAACGATCTGGGTGCAAAGTGCAACCTCTCACAAACAAACAAAGCAATGCCACTCGTACTCCTCCTGTCGTCTGCCTCTTGTTTCTCTTCCTGTGTTTCTGGGAGGTTTTTGTGGGACCAGTCAAACCACCGGTAACTGATCTGGCTTAGAAAAGTTACGGAACTTCTTTATTAAATCAGACCAGCTGTCTGCTGTTGTTTGCTCTGAAGAGTTCCTACACTCTTGCTCTGGCAAGAGGGATGAACTGAAGCCAGGGTGACAGGAAAGA